TGTGCCTTAGCCTCTTCCCAAGCTGTTCAAATCAGAATGAATGCCAACAATGGCAAGAGTACCTAAAGCCTCACAAAGGAAGGCAACGAATTGATGTGAGCTTATGTCTTCAATGAATGCCTGTGGAGTAAGTCACTGTGTCCTTGGTGGATCTGGATAAGAAATATTTTAAACGCTTTTCCCACCATCGCTGTCGCTCTGTCACGTTCATCGTCGGGAAGTATGCGAGCGTGACTTTGCAAGTCCAAAGATGTTCAGCACGAAACGCAACTTTACATTGCGGCCGCGTCGTTTATGAGAGCAAAATCATCTTTCAGCGCTAGGAGCAGAAGCAGCCGCCGCCGCGTAAAATGTGAAAGTGTCACCGTTACCATCTGTTCGTCTATTCAATGAGATACGTATTCATTCCGTCTGTTTGTTGAGTCATGATAAAGTTTTTTCGTTGTCTCGAGTCGCCTCTTTATGCCACCCGTCTAAATAACCGTCCAAGGGCGCAAGCAGGCAAATGCGTGCACGTTTTTCCTACTTTGATTCTGCCTGCCAGCTTTCCTAAGCGTCTGCTAGACCAATGAACAAAGGAATGTGGCATACCTCATATTCCCTCACTAGAGTACACAGTGATACTCTCGTTCCCATAGATTGCGATTGCAGCGTCCCGCGTATGAAACTGAAACCTGCGCGCATAGATTTTGATAATAAGCTGCTATTTACTATGGATTCAAATAGGATGGCACGCACACAGCTATGCACACGTTCGAGGCGTGTGTGCATAAGCCCAATTCAAATACTGCCAAAAAAAAAAACGGCAAAATACTCAATGAATTAGTTTAGTGCGGAGTGGTTAGCTGTTCATAGTAAAAACGTAGGTGTATATATATATATATATACATATATCTATTAATCTATGTGGAAAAAATTAGTTAAAAAACAAGGAACCGCTATATATATTTCATAAGGTCTAAACAAGGGATGTTCCAATAGAAGTATGCTTGAGCGAATTCCGAAAAATAATTTTTCCAGAAATTTTACATTTAACAATGAATATAGACACATTCTGCCATGTTGGATTTGTTCTTTATTTCAAAAATTACAAACGTCATGTTTTACGTTCAACACGTTCAGTTCCCTCCAATGTACACTGATTAGTTGGACACAAGTCAATAGCAATTTTGGCGACACCAGCCGTCGCTTCGTCGATTACAGTTCTTCACCGACGCCCTCGTTGCCTTCAGAACCACGAGTGTGATAAAAATCTGCTTTATGACTGGTGTAAATATAGTTTGTCTGCGAATCGTTCCATCTGACCGGTCTTACCTAATCATAGCAATAACAATTTGTAGATTTCGTGAACCTGTTTATAACGTAATGTCTATCTATCTAAAACGAGCCCAACCCGGACTTGTTGTCATAATATATATATACATACATATATATACCACATTGACGCCGTCACGTAAATGACGCTATTATAATGATGATGCTAGTAATAAAAATAAGCGTAATGGGCATAAGATGAAGGCGATGCAAATCAATTAACACAGAAAAGTCTTATGCCAAATTGCCGTTGGGTTACCATCGCTTGATGCGAGCAAGAGGAAGTGTTGAATCAAAGGACCACCCACCCATAGCCTTCTTCTTCCTCTCTAGCAGATGGTCAGTCAACCTCTATTAGAAGCCCAATACTATCTAATTCGCTCGCACTGTCCCTCGCCCACCTCTTGGTGGTGCCCAGTTTTGTCTTTGACCCTGAGCTTGTGACGGTCCTGCACCGTAACGTAGCTGGTAACTTGTTTTGGTTACCAACATGATGTCGATATGTTATAGGAATATAGGCTCGAATAGCTAATTACTGGTCAACGATCTCTATTTTAGTAAATTATATATTATTGATATATAAATAGCAAGCCCACTACTTCCTATCTCTTAACATATGTCCTTTAAAATACCTTTTTTTCATGATTTTGTTTCAGATAAAATATTAGTTTGCGGTCTATTGACTGAAACAGACTACTGACTAAGCTTTGAAGCCCTTTTTCGGATCATCTTTACAGCGTAATGCTTTTATAAGGAATGATGTTTCCAATCTTAGTGAGTCTTGAGGGCAAGGATATGGCATTCTTCACTTGGTTCTCTATGGTGAAGATTTGGACGTGAAGTACGTTTCGAAGTTTGAAGAATAAATGTGTTTGAAAGGCTTAAGGCCAGCTAGCTATTATGCTAGGGGTACCCAAGATCCTCATTGCTTTGGTGTTATAGTGTTCTGAATTGTCCTCGTCCGATTTGTGCCCGCACGCTGCTTTGCTAAATGATAATGTTCAGCCTTGTTAGGAGCAGGCTGGACTGCCTATCGAGCAGCGGGGCCGCTACACCTTTATAGTTGCGCAAAGTAAATCTTTGTGACGTATGAGCGTTCAAGAATGTATAGTAATAACTGGTCCAGCAAACATTTAAGTGATGCTTTTTTTTGGCACTTTGAACAGGCTTATCTTTTGTTTTGTAGTAGTTTTAATTCTATCATCATCATCAAAGTTTCTTTCTATTACCTGTGACGACCAGGCTGAGTATCGCTGACTGGAACTGCTTCCGCAAAGGAGAAAGACAAATGCCGACAAATGTACGTTTTCTACGCATCGGCTGTCGAATAGAGAAACCCAGCCTCTTTGTTCAATTCGCCCATTGGGCCCCATAGACTAACATTAGTGATTTTTAAGAAGAAGAGAAAACTCTATGTCATTGTATTAACTCTACTTTGTTCTAGACAAGGTGAATCATCATGAAATTAGCTTCCGCCATTTGGATAGGACTTTGCGGCACGAGGTTTCTTAAAGTAAAATTTTACCGTGTGAGTAGACGCAACGTGCGTACTACACACGTGTCTATCCTCAAGACCAACACGTATTTTGAGGAAAGTAGTTTAAAATTGAAAAAAAAACCGCACTTATTCAGGAAGGAAGCTTATTTTCAACAACCAGAAAATCTGTTTTCAGTTGCTTTGGACACTACTGCTAAGTTTTAGTATACAAATCGTGTTTGCCTGTCTTGACACGTGAGATAGCCTAGGTTCATAGCCGAACGTAAACGCAGTTCGTCTCGTATTAAGGGACGCCAGTTGTCTGCTTGAAACATACCCTTACACTTTAAGTCTTGAGCGCACGAGCTCCAATTAAACCATATTTTATCAGTTCGAAAATTAGATTTTCTCAAATTTTTTACAAGTAAAAAACCAAATTTTTTTCACGTCCAGGACCCTACTATCATCATTTGAATTGTGGGTCTAACGTTCGACGTATGAGGTTGTCTTCTTTTTATATCACGCCCACTATTCGACGGAGCTATTGGTATTTATACACGTTTTTCCAAGTTATATATATATTGTTTGATTGCAGTAGCAAATGCAAAGAGAGCGTTCCTTTATTGGATTCCATTGTTCCCTAAAAGGACGAAATAGAATACACGACTTGGGATCACGCCAAGGGTTATTATTGAACCTGCCCCAAAGCGAATTTCTGTGTAGAAAACATACACGATAGCACCATTTTTCAGTCTCTTTTCGTTCCTGAAACCCATTTTACGACGGCACAATCAGCTGCCTCGACTGCTCTTAAGCAGAAGTGGAAGTGACGTGGATCACGCGACGATTAGCTATATACACGTATTTCAGTTTCCAATAAATACGATGCCTTTCACTCGATGGTCTTTGCGAAAAGTACCTTCATGATCTCAAGTACTCTTTTTTTTTTAATGCATACTTTAAGGAAAGCATGATGCAGATGTATTTTCAAGGCAATCGTATTCGTTGCGCATCGGAGTGCACCCACACATGTACGCAAATATCACAAATGAAACAAGATGTACTATGTAGCTACAGCTGCGTAACATCAACAGTAAGTTAAGTGCTCAATGTACATCAATCAAGTTCTTCAGTAGCTTTCCGTACTCTTCGGAACGTCAATTTCCTGCCGTATCAAGCCTTATGGCAAACCCTGCGACGAATGGGAACAGTTTCACTATAAATAATGTTTTCCCAAAAACGACATAGAAAAGAAACAGAGACTCTCATTGTTGTAACGAATAGAAGAAAATCGAAAGATATCAGGGAGCAGGACGGTGAAGCGAACGGGAACAACAGCAATACTAACGCTGACCTGCTCGACCAACCATTCAACCAAAGGCAGCATCCTTCGGCTCTGAACCGGCCTCAACCCCGCACTGTATCACCCCCCGCCAAGATAGAGTAGCGAAATAGTCGATAGCCTCTCCTGGCAGAGTGCGGCACAGTACGCGAAAGAAAGCAAAGCAGCGATCAACGCTTCGCAAGTGTGGGAGCTGAGCGCGTCAGCCCCGGCGATCAGACCAAAAGGTATTTTCACGCATCTATTTCTGATCTTTGTGTTGTTAATAGAAAATTTGGCGGTGCACTGCCGGCCGGAAAACTTTTCCTACTACTTGGCGGCCGCCGCCGCCGCCGCCGCCGCCGCCAGCTTAACCGTTACTCAAGAAAGCTGTAAGCGACTAAATACATGGACACCTTTTTGTTTGGATGTTGCGCTATCACAGAACTGCGAAGGCGACCGAACGCCGAACGAACAATGGTTCTCGATGGCCTTTCGCTGTCCGACGTTCTAGAACAGCTATTTTCTTCCTGTAATTTCTACGGTTAGTTATAATATACAAAGTATTCGATCTAGTCTACAACCGAGTGGATTCGGATCACACATGAAAACACATAGGACTTGTTAAGCCACTGTGCAACTGATGTAATTCTCGTTTCGGAGCGTTTTCTCTCTATATCTCCTGGCAACGGGCCTTAATGCTACCCACGTTCATTCTTTGTCTGGCTATCGGAATGTCTAATGAAAATAATGATCATTTTCAGAATTGTAAAAGAAAAACACTAGGTGATGTACGTTTCAAACTCTACCCATTGATGCAGCTTAGAATCAATGAGTTTTGCAGTCTCTGATTTGATAGTGGACAGGGCTATCCGGTTTTTGCTGAGAGGGATAATGCAGTGCAGATAAGCTTGTAATCGATCGGTAAAGTGATGAAAATCATTTTCTTCGTTTCCCTTGTTAGGGGCACCAGTGAGGTGAAGACGAACCATTCTTCAGGTGGATGAGAACTGCAAGAGGCACAAACTTTAAAGTGTACAAGCTAAGTGTCCAAGACGAATAGCCTTATGAAAAAAATATACTTTTAATGAAAATCCTAATATTACTCCCCCTTAGATGGATATGAACGAAAATTGTACATTGCATGAAATAAGCAAACAGAGATGGAAAATGTGGAAGTAAAAATTTGCCTTCGTCTTTCTTTCTGTGGCCTTTAAACCATTCACACATCAAAAAAACGCCTATACCTGTATTTGAATCAATATACTGTATACAACTTACTGTGTTAAATTTAGTTTTGTCGGAAAATGCCTTTTATTATACTTACGACAAACCAAAGCAGCCTAGTGTGTCCGAAGTGAGTTTCCGAAGTCATGGACGCCTCTATCAGAGAAATATGGCGTGTTACTCAATGCATACTATTAAGTGAACGGGTATTGCAGTTAACGTCTGACTATGTGATACTCGAAATGTACGTTTTTCAATAGCAGTTCAGACGGCTTCTACCATAACGATGGCTTTGTTTTATGCTTGTTTCAGCGACACGTGTGTGAGCCGCAGAGCTACTACAAGCTTAGTCTGGTAGTTCAACGTCTCAACATAGCCGAAGTCGAAACTCGGTTATCGAGTACATTGCAAGACAAGGCCTCTTCAATTTGCGCATTAATGCTATTGTTAACTATTATTTCTATGACATTTGAAGGAAATCAATAAATTGGCCAACGATTTCCGGCTGCCAATACCTTTTTTTTGATCGTCTCAGACGTCAGTGTTACCCATTCGGGTAACGCAAATGCTGTTCTCGTAACGATGATTGAGGTGGGGAAAAATGTAAAATGAAGCCGTCTTTGCACACAGCTGTATAAGTTGTTGTAGATGTACATGCGTAAACACGTGCACATTGCGTTATCTGCACACGTATGCGAATGCGGTATTACTTCCTCGAATATCTGAAATGCTTGTTTTTTTTTTCGAGACTTCCGGAAGTAGCAGCTCGATTTAATATCAGAAATAGACGCATATATACTACAAATGATAAAGTAGGAAGGTGAAATGGTGTATTAAATGGTGTAAACCTGTAAATTCGTGGTTAAGTTTGAAACGATACCGAATTAACGCACGTACAAAGTAACCATTTTTCTTCATCGTCAAAGAAAACACAGCATTAACAGTACTACTAATCGTATCGCCATTAGACGATCAACAATGGAATAGGAACTTATCTTTTTATCGCCAGAACGGCTCTATTTTTATAGAACCCAGTAACCTTTAAGTCCAGAATCAGATGGGTCGTTTAAATAAGTGATAACGCTCGTGAGGTGGTTGGCGCGGACCTTTTGTGAGGCGCTGCGGTATGAATTATCGATCCCGGATCATAATACATTTATACAAGATTGGACAAAAAAAAATTTCTACACAATGTCAGTATGATCGTAAAGCGAGAAAGCAAAGACAAGCTATCTGTTCGACCTTAATTTGGTCATCACGCAGCTAATAATCTACCCTGAAACTGACTAAGGATTGCCTTCATGAAATAGATACGACCAAATAAAATTAGTAAATGAATGGTATTGAAAAATCATAGCTTCAAAAAACCCCAGAAGCTATAAAAGCGCAGCCTGAGAATTGAACCCCAAAAGTGTTACGCCGGTAACGCTTCTCTTTTATGCCATATTTCTCTCTAGCCTTCTTAGAGTAACAGCGGAATTTAAACTCCAAGACAAAATTCGAAACAATCGACGATCCAGCCCAAAAACACCGATAATTATAATGTAATATGGTAATCTAATAGGCAGCAACTTCCCTGGATAAAGCAACGGGTTTAATACAATTATCGATCACTTTTTGAAGGGATGAAACTGCTATTTTAAGTAATATTGCTGGTTGCATGAAGGGGACCAGTTTAAGACATAACATTAATAGGTCACGTCATGATATTCACACTGGCCAAACTGTTAACTTGGGCCAGAATCTTCCAAACAAACTTACAATCTGCTGAATACATTTATCTTTTCGTAATCATATGACCAGTAACTGGGTGTTACAAATCAAGGTCCACGGATATACCAGCTACTTACACATTATCCTGTACCATTAATGTCGCTATACGACATGACCGATGTTGAAAGAACGTGCTTCCGTTAATTTTTTGCAGGTATTGTAACTATACTGGGAGAGCTACTAGTGAGATCCTGGCAGGGTATGGACATGGATGTCCCTAAATATCACGTCCCTCCACGCTTCGTTGCAGAGCTTGTACTTCGAGTCAGTCTTTGCGACATTTTATCGCTAATTATAATTCGCTATTGGTGCCTGTACTTCCTCCTGCATTTTAGCTAAATATAATGAAATGCCAACGGTTCCACGAAATATTTAGCTGAATTGACAGCCTTAGCATGAATATCTTTTCAAGTAAATGAGTCCGAGGCGCTAAAAGCCGGCATTGACTCCACACTTTCAGAGATATCGACAAAATGCAGCTGGTAATCATACGAAGATCCTATGCGGAAGGCTGTTAAATCACTTTGAAGCCACTCAAGCATTTCTACACATAGAACACTTCAAAGATGGTAGTAAGAACCGGTAGTAGAAAATTAAGGCACACTATACAATATAACGTTCAGCGTTTTGAAAAGTAAATATTGTATTATAATTGTGCCATTCGTCGATAGGCTGCACTTAAGTCCTTGGGTCGTACGGCTCCACAGGATATGAAGAGAGCATTGCGAATTCGACGCACTGTTTTAGCTGGGCGTTCTAGAAATACAAATAAAAACGGTTACAACTAGATTGTTCGAACGCTAAAATTAGCCATGTCACATAGGTCGCATGGTTAATTTGTAACAGTCGGCCTGCTGTTGCTTAGCAAGGACAGTTCATTGAACGCTACGCTTCCATCTAATTTCCTTTCGATGGCCGCATTCAGTGTACATCTGTGCCAACTGTGATGACTCTTCCTTCATCAGATAAATACAAACAATTTCACTATGTGGAAATATGGTCAGCTCTTCCAAGCTGTATATATATATATATAGATCACGCATCTCATATCAGCAGCGAGGAACGTATGTGGATAAACTGGTATACTTGATCGATGTATTTTGGCATCCGTGCCGATTCTGCAATATAAGTTATAATTAGTATGTCCATCTTGATTTTCCACAGATAAATGCTTGCTTCCGACGAATGAATCATAATAGGATTGATTCTAGAAGACTGCGTGTTTCCGAGCTGATTCTTCGCTATTTGGCCATGTGGCTTCAGAATCTACCTCCGGCATTGCTTTCGAGATTGTTAGAAGGGCTTACTGACTCATCTGGGGTTATCTCTACATAACAGTGGGGTAATAACCATATTTGCGACTCTTATAGCTATTGAACATACTTTTCCTATAAGTTCTTTATCGTATTCCGCAAACATTTTGAGATTCGAACCAATATATTGGCTAGCATGTTTGTTTTTCAATGGTTACTATGAGAACGTTCCAAAAGATTGTTTCTTTAGCCTTTTTTTCTGGGACATGCGCGAAATATTCAATTTGTTAGAAGAAAATGTGTATGTCCTTAATAACATTAAGCATGGCTGGTGATGTGTACTGGCAATAAGTTACGGCTCGGAAATGAATTCTTTCAGTGTTTCTCAGCCTCGTGTGAGATTACGACTCTGACGAATTATCTATAATAACTTGAGTTGTTTGAGTGACGCCGTTTTATCGGCGCTTGTTCCTAATTTCAGTAGCCTTTAGAAAAATTAAAGGGATATTCTGTGATCATCTAGACTGCGCAAACCGGAAAGACCCCTTTTTGATTGAAATATAATCATGAAGCAATATATATACCGTCATTATACATAGGAAAATAGCATAAGAAAAAATGCGTTATCAGTACAAATCAACTAAACTGGTTGTGCTCTTAATAAACAAATATGCCCACCCTTTCTCGGAGATGCAGATCTAGTATGGATAGTGTTTGCAGACATTTCTGTAGCAACTTATCAGCTCGGAGAGTACTTTCGACCAGATCGTTTCGGGCATTTTTCTTGCAAACGGCATAGTGTAACTGAAAAAATTCAAATGTTGTCGGCGGAAGCCTAAAATACTGTTAATTGACTCAAAATTGTACTTCAATAGACACACTGAACGAGCTAAGTTTCGCTAAATTAATAGTAATTCAACTTAAGCTTAATTATTAAATATTATCATTTAAATCTATCCTGTATCAATGGCTTATTCTTAACGGCTCTAGGTTTGCGTGTGCCTCCGTTTCTTGGTTCGAAAGAGGAAACAATCTACCTCGTACATGGCGAGGATCTGAATCTCAGCATCGCTGATATCTCCCGCACCTAGGAAACATTTATGGGCATTTTGGCGTGATACCTGAAAAACAATGAGCCTTTACTATATAAAAATTGTATACTGACATAATGAAGTGAACCAGAGCAGAAATGCTGGACTAAGTTTTACGTTGTTATTCTGTTGTTCCCCGAGCCGTAACTCGCGGCGCTCCTTCCTTGTACGAATTTTTATAGATGTCCGGCCATCTTTACAGAATAGATTCAGATATGCGCATCAATCTAACACATATTACACAATACATGCAGATAAAAGTGGCTCCATACAACGTACCATTAACTGTGGTAGATCTCTTTGAAAAACCATACTATCGAGATGACCGCCGAACCCCAGACACACATTGGAAACATAGAGGTCAATGAGGTCAGCTCGGATTTGTTGCGATACCCTTAACGATCTTTTTACATGTACATGCGATGCATCCACAAGTAGACCCAAAAACACTGTGACCCATATATGGCAACCCACAAATGTGGGCTTCATCGTTTGCTTACAACAGGGAACGAACCGAACATTACAGAAAAATAATAAGCCAAAAACAACAACGAACGTGACCGTGAGGCCTGGCGATGATCAGCGTTGCTGTAGTTTTAGAAGGTGCGGATCTATGTGAAATACTTGTAATATGTACCGCGCAACCCACCTAGGTTTATTTGTATTGTTAATTAAGTCTGTGTCATATGATGGGCTATAATGTTGGTCCTTTTTGATAATCTGAGATAAATTTAAACATTTTTTTTTTTGGTACACAAACTGGTGTTGCAGAACGTAGCTTGTAGGAAGATGCAACGGTCGAACTACAGCGTTTGACGACCTTAGCTGTGTCAATGCTTTATAACTCCTTTATGACTTATCATGTAGACCCGTGGCAGCTAAATACTATGTTTGCATGTACTAAACATCGATAATAATCCTCTGGTAATCATCACCATTAATGAACTCTAGGACTCAACTTAGGCAAATAGGCAACTTATTTTATAGCTTCATAATACTAACAAGACAAGGCCTAGAACTTCGTTGAAGTTTACCAATTATATATCTGTGGTCAAATTTATTAACGTGATCATTAATTCCAAAAAACCTTACCGCTAAATTCCTTATTTGTCCAGCATTCGATACTAATTAGCTTTGCTACCAGACTATAAAAGGTCTAAAAAGACAAATAATATCAAATTGTACGTATATCTATTTCAGCTGTGGCAATAGTTTTGGCAAGATATTTTTTTCTCTCAAAGAAGGTTTCCTTCGGATTCACCCCACAGAGTTAAACTTACAACTCTACTGCCCACGATATCTAAATTGCCTACTACCCTATGCCGGTTATGAAGTGTCTCCCTGAGCGGGATTCATTCCATCGCTGCGGCAGTGAGTTTAATGGTTCTACCAAATCGAACGTTGACGGACCATTTCCGCCAGCCCCTTTCCGGGATATTGGAGTTCTTACATTGGAACATGCTAAGAAAAACCGATATTTTTAACGCCTACGATTGTAACTTTGATAGCGTTATCAGCGCAGTTGAGTTTCGCCTGTGGCTATACGATACACACAGCCGCCAGTAGAGAAGAGGCACGAATGTAGTGATCGGCTAGATTGAAGACATTCTATTCTCTTCTAATACAGTTGTTAATGAGCATGTAAAAGATCGCATACCGTTTGGGGTGAAAGGTGCGTGTCGTGTTTATAATTTTTTTCGTCTGCTATGTAGCGTTTATTTAAACTGTACCGCCCAACCAGCTAATATATGCATGTGTATAGAGAGTTTTGGATGATGCCCGGTTAGCTTTAGATAGCCTAGCTGTGACTGCTGGCCAATTAAACAGTTGAGATTTGGACAAAGACTGTGTACCATCGCCTGAAAAATTAATGAGTCATCTGATTTGATATACCACAACTTACGGCCAAAATAAAGAATCTGTATTAAATGTATCCACGGTCTTTATGTCCCTTTAAAATGATCCGTTGCTTTATTTTGCCGTGACAGTAATGAACGTGCATACCACGTGGCTTATGAGGCTTTTTGCGATACGATTGATTAAAATGTCCTAAAAAGAACAAGCGAAGCTCGCAATCAGGACGATGTCACGTTATTATATAAATCAATGAGGTGCATCGCTCCGTAGCTCTAAGTATGAGTATTTGTCCGTTCGTTTTCCCTAAATAGAGCGATAGCGCAGAGCTGACAGGAAATCAGAACAACATGTGCAGGTGCTCATCCGCATAATAATAATAATATTGATATTTAATCAGATCGTCAAAGCTATAATTGAAGCCAGTGGTTTATTTAACTAAAAGTAACGCTAACTAAACACCAACTCTAAGGACCTCACATTTTTGATTTGGGATTATGTCACCTGGGCTAAATTTAGCATGGCCTAGTTGTGTCGGTGCAGGGTTAGATGGTCTGATTTATGGCTATAGCGAGCGGTACCACTTAACAAAACTACCCATTCGGATGTGTTATATCAATTGCTTCTTAAAATAACCCTTTTACCCTTCACCGTAATTATGGGAAGTCTCAACTACACGCAGAAACCGTCACGCCAGGCAACACAATTGGGTCATGCTGCAGCTACGTGTATGTGATTGGTAGTCTCTCGGCTACGAGAGAGCTGGACGACTTAGCCAAAAAAAAGGAAGCTTTGGCCTAACGGGTCATTATATTTTCATACACTTTTCTCATGTTATTATTCACGTACCCAAAACAGTCGGAAATTAGGCCGTCTTTTGTGCAACTAGCACATCGGTGTCTCCTTAAAATCGAGCTTTAGCATCATTTAAACCACAGCCAATCTGTGTGCACAGATTATTGATACTGTGTTCCATTACAGATCCTAATCGAGAGGAGTCGCGCTCATCGATCACACTGAAACTTAATATCCGATCAATACGACCTTAGCAGCCTCGATCTATGAACTCGAAGCCTAATGCCTAAGTATGTTGGGCCTTCGGTCGCCGCTCAAACACGAGAAGGACAATACTGCAATCGTACTTTTGTTTCTTCGATATAATTTAGTGAGACGAATAATATAATCTAGCTATTATCGGACAGGTAAAGTATGTTTATTAAACACGTTGTCTTCATTTATAGATGAATAGCTTCGCTTACCCTATATATTTGTTTGATTTGCACAGCTCTGTACATTTGTAGGGCCCTATAAATGCATGCAAGGCACGATCTTCTAATAGTTGTAATCATCATGCTAGGCGATTACTTTGGATGAGTGCCAAAGATAGCTCCCTTCGGGTAAATTTCCACGTAAAAAAATTGTGCAGAAAAATCACGAAAAACGTGTCGGCCCCAGCAACTTGGAGCTCGTTAGTATTATGTATGATTAGTCCTTGCGGTACTATAGATGACCATCATAGTAAAGACGTATGCTAACTCGAGAACTATTTAGTTGTAGCAACAATAATAGCTAACTTGGAAACTGGTTGAAACTTGAACCGATAGTTGGAAATTGACCAAAATACAGAGGCTTGTAGGAAAATGCTCGTGGCTGTCATCAAAACTCTATTAGCTAACGGTGTTATAGAGATCGCTGTATTTCCGAACACGCTGCGTGTGCCACGTTTTTTAACGTGGTTTTAACCATACGAACACGTACAATGTATCGATACAATTTACGAAGAGCTATCGATTCGTGATATGAAGGACCTTCCCTACGTAGTCGCCTAAAGAAAACGAAAACTGAAATATGGACCCTGTAGCTCGGCAAGCATATACGTACCACCGACGCTAGTAGGCAGGTACTTAGGCAGATAATTAGTGTTAGTAACTGTGTTGGTTTATCAGGCAACCACTGCGTATAACTAACGAAAAATGTACAATTTAATTAAATTTCATCTAATTGATGCACCGATTACCCGGACTGAATGGGTGTTGGTACTCGATGAAGAATAACGTTTACGTCCGTACGGAACGTGCTAAACGTACGGGAAAGATTACGTTATGTTAATTTTCTAGGATAAATTCAATACATTTTTATAGCTTTACCTAGCACGAAGGTTACGGACTTGGATTGCTAAACGTGTTCTAGCACTATTTCCCGTAGGGCGAAGTCTATCTGCCCAAATGATGAAAATCCTTTGAGCCATTTTCGGGATTACTAATACAACTTATACATGCACATACTTGACCTGCTTTAGGCTATAAAATATCTCCCTGGGTAACTGTTTGTCCGCTAATATTATAAACACATTTGAACTCAGGCATAGGCAAACTTCGCTTTGTGCTGCAAGCCAGCCGTCTGTCTGATGGAATGTTTAACAGCAATAGCAGACGTAAAACTTGAAACACTGAGACTATAAAATATATCATCAAAAAGTAGGTGCCGTAAAGCGGTTACCAGCTGAGTGAGCTTTACGCGCAAACTCGAATTTTTTACAATCATAGACTCGCTTGCGGATGTTGTTATTAGATATTAGCATCGTCCTTGCATCGCTTATTTAGACGCACTACTTAGTAGATTATCCATCGTACTATACAACTATGGATAATTGTATTCATGCATCGTAATTTTGTAGCAAATGAAAATCAATGCTTTCACGTTACGAATTTGCGATTGGGACAACTTCCTTTGCATGCAGAGCCTCGTGTGGTCGCTGAAACCCAGGCGTACAAAAGAATTGTTGTTGTTGTGCGCCCGTACCGCAAAAGCGTATATTCTTTTCGTGGTTCTCGTCTTCTTTTTGAGATCTGCGCTATTTGCTGGTTATCTGGCATTGCCGTTGCATGGCCATCACTTCTGGCGTCAGGGTTCGCTCCTCGTATCCCTACCTCGCTTCTTCTTGCAACCCCACAAACTAAACTTCCTTTGCACTTCCCTTTGCCATTCCCACTGAGGCGCCGAACGCACCATCGCCGTCTTCTGAATGAATTCTTTACGAAGCATTACTGCTTGTGCTTTTGAGTCGGTGGCGATAGCGGTGGAAAAGCAGTCTCTGGTTTGCCAGTTGGATTTTAGGTGAAGCATAGATGGAGCTCCGGGCCCGGGCTTTGGAGCACGTCTTCGAGGCGTGTTACAGGACGTGCCAGACGACCAGGAGAGAACTCGGCATCTTAGCTGAAAAAGTTGGCTGAGAAGACTTGCGCGCGGCAACGATGCCTCGTCTTTGGAAGAGGACATTTTCGCAAGCTTGTTATAGTGTTGCATGCCTTTCCGCGTGCCTTCACGCCTTCAGGCCTCCTTAGGCGTGCGGGATATCTTCCTTCTTCCTAGCAGCTCAGGGTCTCCTGCACGCTTGCCCACCCTGAGCAAAGTTGTACGCAGCCCCTGCTGTGTTATGCTGTATGTTCTGGGGCTGTTGCTACGCCGCGTACGTTGCTTGCTACTCCTTGTCCGTGGTTCCTGGCTGGTTGCTACTGTTGTTATTATTGTTTCCATGCGCTTAACTAAATGACTGCAGAGAGGCGGTTGTCCGAGAAAACACCACACCGAAAAATACTCCGAGCTGCAACCGGAGATTGAGGAGTTGAAGGGCGTTA